TTTTTCTCATAATTATTAGACTTTTCTATCATAAGTAATGATGGTTTTGTATGGATGTACAGAATGGGAGTAGGAAAGCAGTGATTTTATTACTCGAGGCATTAGGGTCAAAAGGATATGTATAATGCCCAAGAAAATAGTTAAAAAGATAAATATTATAATTCTAATAGGGGACTATGAATGATAATATCGTAGCTAGGAATCAAACCTAGCTGGCCTAGTGTATGGGTTGAAAGTTAGGACCATCAGCCACTAAGCTAGGAGTGTTGTAATGGTCCAAGGGGTCATGTCTAAAGGGAGACATGAGACCCCTTATATAGTATTAAAACCTTCCGGATGCTTGACAAGTGTACGAATCTGGTTTGCCTTCATTCTAGCCTCTTGGTCATACATGTGTACCCCACTACTTGCCACATCTCTATTCACTTGAATATGTATAGCATGTTGTGCCCTTGTAAATGAGAATTGAGTATCTTGGTTGGTTGGTTATACCTTTTAGTTCTTTTTGCTCCCTCAACTTCCAAGCCCAATGCCTCCTTTACGGCAAATTATACCGTGCACCAGGGCGCACAATGCATTGTGCGCCCTGACCCAGAACGATGTCGTTTTGTACATTTTTCGCGTGTTTGCTGTTAACCCTTTAAAAAAATTTCATGTTTCGAATGTACAGAATTGTATAATAAAAAACACATAATTTTATACTTGAAAACACAGAATTTTATACCTGAAAACACAAAATTTTTATAACTGAAAATCTCCATGTTTCGAATGTACAAGATTATATAATAGAAAACACATAATTTTATACCTGAAAACACATAATTTTATAATTAAAAATTCTCATGTTTTGAATGTACAGAATTATATAATATAAAACACAGAATTTTATACCTGAAAACACAAAATTTTATAACTGAAAACACATAGTTTTTTTTTTTTTAAAAAAAGATAAAAATCCTCTGTTTCGAATGTAAAGAATTTTATACCTAAAAACACATAATTTTATAACAAAATACAAAGCGATGTCGTTTTGGGAGGCGCGGGGCGCACATTGCTATGTACGCCCTGGTCCACGGTATAATGATTGCTCAATACTCGTTATGGGCCAAAAATTCACTAATTATCAATTTATTCATGATTAATATTGTACCTTTTTTCATAAATAACTGTTCAATTCTTAAATATTACATTTGTTTTCAACAGTATTATAATTTTTTTTTATAAATAATAAATATTGTATTCATGATTGATATCATATTATTCAATGTATGTATGTATTATATTTATATTTTGATACGACCCTCTGAAGCATAAAGATTTATGAGATGATATGAAAGAAGACTCACCCAATTCAATTTGTTTGCAAGACCCGGATCGGTCTATTTGAAGAAATATTGATATTCAACAGGCCACTACATTGGGATGTCCCAAGTTAGAAAGTCACAGCTAATGTACATGACTGCGTACCGTTCCAAGTCCCTTAGAGGTTGTTTTATGCAACAAGCATCTATCAGAAAGACTGATAATTTATTCATCCAGAAGACATGTACACTTATCAGAAATACCATTTAATGCACCTTGAAGCATAAAAGACCAAACTGCAAAGTGTATTCCAGCTTAATTGCAGTTTTCAAACATAAATATGTGATAGTAATATTTTATCCGACATGTGCTTCTTGCCATTCTTAGGTGACTATGCATGCCATATTTAGAGACTAGATTTTATATCCAACCTAATAAATATAAAATCAATTTCTGTGCTACATGTTTGATCAAATACTACTTATAGTTTCCTAAGCTATAGTTTTCATCATGAGATAAGGACCAGAACATAGACATTATCAAACAGTCCCAAATATAATTAAGTGAAAATTGTAAAAAATACCCCTCTATAATATGTCAATTACCAATGTCACCCCTGAATTATGAATGGTGTAAATGTTGCCCCTCAACTATCAAAACGGTGCACATATAGTCCGTCCCGTAACGGAAATGTGGTTCCCTGTTAGTGTAGGATACCGTTAAATCGGAGTAAATATGTAATAAAGGATGGGGAAGAGAGACCTGAATAAAAGTATGTCATTTGTTGCAGTCATCAACTTCCAGTATGGATGCCATATTTCCACATCCCTCGGTAACAATAATTAGGAGCACTGAATATGGTAACAACCTTCTGCTCCTGCAAAACCAAATTAAAGTAAATGGATCTCATTCTTCATTCTCCCGAATGAAAATTACATTTCGAAATGGGCATGGAGAAATTTTCCTTTTTTTTTTTCTGAAGGAAAACAGAGAATTCGGAAAAACATAATTTTTTAAATGGAAAATTTTGGGTCCAAAAAAAATAATGGAAAATTAAAGTAGACGCAACTTTGCTTATAGACAAACTATTACATGAGCCCAGTTATATCCATCCATAACCAGCTGGTGTGCTCTAGCAATAAGCTTCAAGCTGTTAGTATGGTTAAATTGCTCTGATATGTCCTGTATGTTAAATTCAAATAACACCATAAAATAGTTAATTAGTATGTAGGAGGACTATCAAACTACTAAAATTGATGAAAAAGTAAAAATAGGATATAGAAGATCAAAATTACTTGGCCAAATGTATATCCTGCACCCCTAGCCTGGGTTATTCCAACTAATGCCATGAGTCAAGTCAGTAAACACTATTTCAATTTATGGAAAACAAGTGACACCCACATGTCATATGTGGGAGGCCCAAAATATTCCACATAGGTTTACAAGAGATTCAAGACAATGAGATGCTGTACTGACCAATGCTGTAAGTGGAAAATAGTCGAACAGATCTGTGAAAGTCTTCCACACATTGGCATTACCATATCTGTAAAATGCAACTGCAGTGAATCAACACAGGTTTGCAAATATAACACCTTTAAAAGAAGAAATAATTAGAAGAGAAAAAACTGAGGAAAGAACTTATCCAGAAGACGTGTACACTTATCAGAAATACCATTTAATGCACCTTGAAGCATAAAAGACCAAACTGCAAAGTGTATTCCAACTTAATTGCAGTTTTCAAACATAAATATGTGATAGTAATATTTTATCCGACATGTGCTTCTTGCCATTCTTAGGTGACTATGCATGCCATATTTAGAGACTGGATTTTATATCCAACCTAATAAATATAAAATCAATTTCTGTGCTACATGTTTGATCAAATACTACTTATAGTTTCCTAAGTTATAGTTTTCATCATGAGATAAGGACCAGAACATAGACACTATCAAACAGTCCCAAATATAATTAACTGGTATATTACCTAATATCCGACAGATTACCACTCACTAGTAATTAAATAACATATCATAACAAATAGAAGTGAAAAAGAGAACTGTTGATTACATATCATAACCATTGTTTCTTTTGTGAGAACTTAAAGAAAGACATCCACAGCATAGTTAATCCAGAGCAATTATTGAATTTAACTCAAAGAAAGACATCCACACTTTTTAACACCAATTTAAAGGGTAGCTATAAAATTGTTGTCCATTCAGAGTTACATTCACATGTCCATCCCCAGAACAGAATGCAACATCTATGAATTATAGTTCATGAAAGACTAGTAAACTCACTTCCTTAAGCATTCATCGTAAAATCCATAAACTTGAGTAATCTGCAAGAAAGTCAGGCCATCAATTCAAGCAACTCAAAAGAGATCTAAATTATGTAATAGTAACAGGAAAACTAAGAGTATGGAAGAGTTAAAAGGGAAAATCCAACATTTTTGAAGAACACTAAATCATAAATGATTCGAGCTATCATTGAACTTCAATAGATGGAATTATTCGAGTCACTGAAAGAAGGGACCCATAAATGAGTATGGCATCACAATTGTGTTATTTAGCAATATGGAGGTGTATACCAGCGACTCTCATGATTTCACCTCAAAATTGTAATAGCTGGAAAATAAATAAGCCGTATGAGTTGCATTTTTTAGCAAACTGAATACCAATAAACCAATTGCAATAATTAGATTTAGTTAATTTCAAGCCAAGCTCGAGCAAGCAATTCAAATAATTGATGAGCCACTATCAGATGTTCTCATTTAATTTATTTGAACAGATGAGCTTTTAAAAACAACTTCATAGTTCATAGTAGTAAGTGCTTTTAACAACTAATTCATAGTAATCCCTTGATTGAGAATACCTTTAGCTACTATTAATGCGATGCATATTAAGCTGTTGGGACAACAATGTAAGTGGCTGAAATTTTACTATTATACAATTTACTGATTACAATTAATTGTACAGAGAAATGAAGGCCACTGATTAAGCATACCATTGCTGTATGATTGGGCTAATAGTTAGGTTAAGAATAACATTAATAATTAATTACCTTTATTTTTTTTATTTGTTGTATGAATCTAAAGATGGAGTTAAGTTGAAGACATTTGTTGACTCAAAGTGTTTTGTCAAAGTTATGTGCAAAAAGAATTATAAAGGAATACCAAGCCTAAGAGGAGTAGTTATTGAAGAATACTAGTTCTAAAGGGAATTGTTATTGAAGTTTTTATAGTTCTAGTCTGATTAAATTAGGAATAGCTTTGTTATTCACGAATCTGTTAGGAGTAGCTACTATAAATAGGGGTTGTCCTTTATTGTAGAATTCAAGCATTCAACATTAATCTTGTGAGGTACGAGAGTCTTTGAGAATATGATACTAAATTCCCCTAGAAAGTAGTACATGTGTTTAGGTTTCAATAGTTTGGTAGGAAAAATCATTCTATTGTGTAATTTCAGGTTCCAAACAGTGTACTTTAAATATTGAGCTTTTAGTGGATTTAGACAAGTTCTCAAATTGAGAAGTGCCTCGCAGATTAGGGTTGTTTGCCCGAACTGCGTTACAGATCGTTTGTGTTACAACTTACGTTTCAACATCACTGTGTGTGTCGATCCTTAAAATATTTCAATTGGTATCAGAGCAGGCTGCTAAAATTACTAGCAAGATCCTACACCATCCAAATGAACGACACAATGGATTTTCCCAGAGAAGGTTTATCGGATAGCAGACCCCCAGCTCTGGATAGTGCAAACTATTCCTATTGGAAGACTAGAATGAGAGTTTACATCATGTCCCAAGGTGAGAGAGTGTGGAGAGCAGTAGAAGAAGGCTGGGAACCACCTACTAATGAAAAAGGAGAAAAGAAACTAAAAAGGAAATGGTCTGAGGATGAAATCAGAGAAGCTAACTACAATTCAAAAGCCATGAACTCTATATATGGGGCAGTGAGTGAAGAAACTTTTAAATTGATTTCTAACACTGAAATTGCCAAAACAGCCTGGGAAATCTTATGCAATCATCACGAAGGCAACACCATTGTCAAACAATCAAAACTACAGATGATTCAAACACAATTCGAAACTCTAAAGATGGAAGAAGACGAAAACATCACACAATTCAATGCAAAAATCCTAGATATAGCTGGAGCTGCATACAATTTAGGAGAACCTTTTCCCGAACCAAAATTGGTTAAAAAGGTACTCAGATCACTACCTGAAAGATTTCTCATGAAAGTCACAGCCATTCAGGAAAACACAAATCTGGACACATACAAACTAAGTGACCTAATAGGAAATCTCCAGACGTACGAACTGGAGATGCTACAAAGAAAACCAAATGATTCAAACAAAAGTTTGGCATTTCAATCCAAGCAACGTGCAGATTCAGATGAGGACACACAAAGCATGGAAGAGTCTATTGTCTTGCTCACCAAGAATTTAAATAAAGTGGTCAAGAAGTTCAACAAATTCAGAAATAAAAACAAGAACTTCTCAAATAACAATAGAAACAACACAAAAAAAAAAAAAAAGAAGGAAAAGCCTAAAAATACCGAGGGGATACAGTGCTTCAAATGCAAAGGGTACGGACATATCCAATTAGAATGTCCAACGTACTTGAAAAAGAAGAATAAAACCTATGTCACAACACTTAGTGACGATTCCGATAGTGAAGATGAAAATTCCAACTTTGTTGCTTTCACTACCAGGCACGAAGAAGAAAATACCTCTCAAGAGGACACACAAGAGCTATTCGAAGCATACACACTGCTGCAATCAAAATGGCACGAACTCATTAGAGTTAATACAGAACTCATGCAAAAGAATCATGACTTACAAATTGAAAAAGAGAGAGAATTTCGGGAACATCTAGAAACAAAGGAAGAACTAAAGAAATTCCAGAAAAAGGAAGAGGAATTAACATGGAAAATACAGTCCCTTGAAGAAAATTTGCAGAAAACAGAAAACACTGACAACAAACATACAGAAAACCCAGAGTTGTTACAACATCACTTTCAACACCGAAGGAGAATCAGATGTTACTACTGCCACAGATTGGGACACATAAAGGCGTACTGCTTCAAAAGGCAAAATGATCTCTATCACAGGCAAAACAACAGAGATTGGGCAGTACAAAGCAAAAATAATAGCAAGAAAATCTGGGTAAGAAAAGATCAGAATGTTGCCTACACCTCAAAAACTAGCAAAGAACAAAACGTATGGTATTTTGACAGCGGGTGTTCAAGGCATATGACTGGAAATCCAGAAAACCTAGAAAACATTCAGTATAAGAATGAAGGACATGTTACCTTTGGAGATGGAGGAAAAGGCCAGATCATTGCAAGCGGCATCTTGAATGTCCATGGGCTACCTAGGTTGCCAAAAGTCCTCCTAGTACAAAGTCTAAAAACAAATCTAATCAGCATAAGTCAGCTTTGTGAAGATGAACTCAAAGTAGAATTCTCTAAAGACAATTGCATTGTGTTTAATCAGAATCACAAGTGTGTCATGATGGGAAAAAGGTTCGCAAACAAATGCTATACATGGGATGGTCACCTATCTGGTTTACAGACAACCATCAAGCTAAAACAATCACTACACCAAGACACATAAATTCTCATGACATCAAAGGGGACCAAGGAATATTCCTAGTTTATTCATCAAACAGTAGGGCTTTCCGTGTAGACAGTACAATGGAATCCATGAATGTGGTTATTGATGACACAATTCCAATAATAACCACTAATGTTGACGAAAGTCCCAGAGTTGTTGAAACAACTGTTCCAACACCTCTGACTACTGTTATGCAGAATCACAAAATAGAAACAGAACCAGATGAAGAAAAGGATAAAAGGCAATCTATTGATTTGAAAATTCAGAAAAATCATCATTTAAAAAAAATCATAGGGGATCTCAATCAAAGAATCAAAACCAAGGGAAAGAAACAAGATTACCTTAAAATGGATGAAGAAGATTATTGTTTCACCTCCAGGTTTGAAACAAAGAATATTGATGAAGCACTAAGAGATGAATTCTGGATAGAAACCATGCAAAAGGAACTACAACAGTCTGAAAGAAACAAAGTCTGGGAATCAGTATCTAAACCCGAAAGATGCTAATACTATTAGAACAAAATGGATACGTGTTGACAAAACACTACTTGTTAAGCACTATTGAAACCATATGGATTGGAAAAGGGGTAGTAAGAGCAGTAGAGGTGTTGGCACACAACCTGTTCGACAGAATGTCGAACTGGGCTCTGCTCATCTGTTTCATCTGAACGCAAGGCTAAACTGTGAGGCAGATGTTGAAGAAGTTGCGATGGGCTTGATGAATGAGACAGCTGAAACTGTATTGAATGAGGTAGCATTGGTAGAGGAAGCTAGGCAAGAAGTGCTCCTTTCCTTCGGCCATACACGATCAGATAGATCATCAGAAATCAAATCGGATGATAATTGGAGACTTGTTCCCTGAGATTGATCAAATTAGCGAAGAAGGTGACCAGTCTATATTTGCTTTTGCGACTGGTGAGACTGCCAGATTGAAGGAAAACTCTCCGATTGTGACAATCTCAAGCGGGGAATGGGAGGATCTAGTGAAATCGAAGGAGAGGATCACTCTGGTGGGGCGTTTTTTGCGAGAGAGCGTTCGCCTTTGGACGGCCTTAGGGCTGATCAGAGAGCGATCGAAAAGAAAAAATTTCTTTTTATAGCTGTCAAGAAAACAAGAAAAGAATGATGAAGTCACAAACACAGATTCAAGACAGCACTCATCAGATAAGAAAGATACGTGGAATCAATTAAGGGGGAGAAGAATCATAAATCAAGCCACTATGAGATCAAGGTTTTTTCCAAAAATTTGACAAAGGGGGAGATTGTTGACTCAAAGTGTTTTGTCAAAGTTATGTGCAAAAAGAATTATAAAGGAATATCAAGCCTAAGAGGAGTAGTTATTGAAGAATACTAGTTCTAAAGGGAATTGTTATTGAAGTTTTTCTAGTTCTAGTCTGATTAAATTAGGAATAACTTTGTTATTCACGAATCTGTTAGGAGTAGCTACTATAAATAGGGGTTGTCCTTTATTGTAGAATTCAAGCATTCAACATTAATCTTGTGAGGTACGAGAGTCTTTGAGAATAGGATACTAAATTCCCCTAGAAAGTAGTACATGTGTTTAGGTTTCAATAGTTTGGTAGGAAAAATCATTCTATTGTGTAATCTCAGGTTCCAAACAGTGTACTTTAAATATTGAGCTTTTAGTGGATTTAGGCAAGTTCTCAAATTGAGAAGTGCCTCGCAGATTAGGGTTGTTTGCCCGAACTGCGTTACAGATCGTTTGTGTTATAACTTATGTTTCAACATCACTGTGTGTGTCGATCCTTAAAATATTTCAACATTTATGATTTCAGAGTGTAAGCAAAGAAAATTGAATAAAATTATATTGAATTCAAAATTCCGGTTACATATCAAGTATCAATGCGGTGTGGGTATAAGTCTCTGAATGGTCCTCTCATCTTCAATTGGATGCCTTGAACACTCCACCATTGAAGGGCCTCCGGGTTTCAAGTGGCTTAATCTTCAAAGAAGGGCTTGTATATATAGTTTGTTCTTCTTGAAGGGTCTCCGGGTTCAAATGGCTTGATCTTCAATAGAGGTTTAATTTGGATCAACATGCATCAACATATGGAGGAGAAGGGACTTTTACTTTCAAGATCACATTTTTATTGTGATCTCCGAATAAGCTTCAGAGTTCTTTCTATGATTTTTCCTAGGATGCACTATTGAAAATTATGAAATTTCCGACCACCTGAAAGTGATCTTAAATCAAGGCGAAAGTCTTGTTCCAACCACTTTTGGTATCCGGAAAAACCTTTGTTGCTATTTCCAACCACTTTTTGCTTTCAACTTGATTTAAGATTACTTTCAGGTGGTCGGAAATTCCATAATTTCCAGTAGTGATGTGTGATTACATAGAAATAAGAAGTCCTATTTATAGCTGTAGGATAGAGGAGTTGTGATAGGTTCAAATTCTTTTGATATTATCTAATTAACAAATTAGATAATATCAATATTATACATAAATATATTCAAATATATTCAAATATACTAATATTGATAAATAATCAATATTTATCAAAATTTAAGTATCAACAAATGCCCCCTCGAGACTTACTTGTACACCACTTGAGAGCACATAACACTTGAAAGTATGTAGTGCAAGAAAGTCTCGACACTACAACTTAAAGATATAAGGCCGTTTCAACTCGTGTCAAGGAGCCTTGAAAGATATGAGGCCGTTTCAACTCGTGCCAAGGAGTATCTTGAAGGATATGAGGCCTTTTCAACTCGTGCCAAGGAGTATCATTTAGCCTCCTCCATTTCAAATTTCATATGGGGTTTGCCCCCATACCGGTTGAATGGTATGTGTCTATTAAGAGATGAGAGGCAGAGCTGTCCCACAGGGCATGCCAATTTGTAAACAAAGCAAATTGAATAAAATTATATTGAGTTCAAAATTCCGGTTACATATCAAGTATCAATGCCGGTGTGGGTACAAGTCTCTAAATGGTCCTCTGATTCTTCAATTGGATGCCTTGAACACTCCACCATTGAAGGGCCTCCGGGTTTCATGTGGATTAATATTCAAAGAAGGGTTTGCATATATAGCTTGTTCTTCTTGAAGGGCATCCGGGTTAAAATGGTTTGATCTTCAATAGAGGTTTGGACCAACATGCATCAAAATATGGAGGAGAAGGGGCTTTTACTTTCAAGATCACATTTTTATTGTGATCTTTGAATAAGCTTCAGAGTTCTTTCTATGATTTTTCGTAGGATGTGTATGTGATTACATAGAAATAAGAAGTCCTATTTGATAATATCAATATTATCCATAAATATATTCAAATATACTAATATATATTGATAAATAATCAATATTTATCAAAATTTAAGTGTCAACACAGAGCACCATGATTCTTCCTGTTTTCTTGGTGGATTTGTTGGACTAACAAGGTGTATTCCCTTTACAGGTTTTCAATCCAAGTTTTTTTTTTTTTTTTTTCCTATTAAGATGATTTGCTCAAATTGTTTTTTGCTGAATCAATGCCAGATTAATAGTCTAATTATTGTATAAAAACTTTGTTGGTCCTATTAAGATGATAACTTAAGTATGATTTTTTATTTTTTATTTTGGTTGCATAAGTGGTCACTATTATTAACTTGTTTTTGATGAAGTACATGATGCAGCCTAGCCTTGACAACAGATGTGGAATGCAGGTCTGAGGGCTATCTTTGTCTTTTCCTACTCTTGGCAGTTATATAACTGCCTCTTTCCCTCCTTATTAGGGATGGCAATGTGCCCCGTTCTCATTAGGGATTCCCGTCCTCAAAGGAAATGGGGACGGGGACGGGAAAAAATTTCGGGGATCGGGGACGAGGACGGAGAATATTTGAAATTTCCCCGCGGGAATGGGGACGGGGACGTGGATACCCATTCCCGCCCCGCCGCGTCCCCGAATAATTATATATATATATATATATATATATATATATATATATATATATATATATATATATATATTAATTTTTCAAATTATTATGATATAAATTTTTAGTTTTTAAAATTAAAAATTATAGTAATTTAAATTTTTTGACTAAGAGTTCACCGTTAACGGGAATTCTCTGTTCCCGGTTAATTCCCTTCGGGAACGGGAATGTGGACTATTTTCAATTTTTCGTTGGAGATAAGGACGGGGTCGGAGTTTCGGGAACGGGGACGGGGAGTATACTCCCCGCCCCCGCCCCGTTGCCATCCCTACTCCTTATCTGTATATAAGCTCATGTATGTTGAGCTTTCTTCATCTTAATTCTGTAATTTCCTTTTCTTACCTGCCTAAAACCCTCAAAAGCTTTGCTCAATAATATGATTGATTCCTTGCATGATCTGGGCTAGTTTATCATGTTAAATCCATACCCTCTTTTGATCTTTGGTAGAATTTGAATCATACACTATACCATTACCACTGCTAGTAAAACAAAACTAACTTATTTTAGGTTGATTAACCAATTAAGCTATGTCACGAGTCCATTTCTTTATATATGTATATATACAGACATGCGACAATATTGCTTCGCCTAATTCGTTGTGACTTTTAATGATATTCCAGTGACAAATAATTTTCGTACATATATGAATAGATTTGTATGCCAATTTAATATTGAGCAAATACTAATTTTCGTCCCACGAGTATTAGCAAAATGACAGTTTTAATCAACATGTTTAGTTCCTACCAATTTTCAATCATGCCTATTGTTTTACTACCAATTTTCATCCACAACTATTGTTTTAGTACCAAAATTCATTGCGTCGGTCACCCCTTCATTTAAGACATGCTGAAATATGAAATTATGAAGGGCATTTTCGTCTTTTTCAAATTAAGATCTCAATTTGAGCATGAATAAAGGAATTTAAGCCCTAAAATCGATCCCAATTCGCAGTTCTCCTCCTCAAATTAAGGTCGGATGAGGAGGAGAATTGCGAATTGGGATTGATCTTAGCACTTAAATCTCTTTATTCATGCTCAAATTGGGATCTTAAGTTGAAAATGACGAAAA